CCTGGGGAAGGTGAAAAAACAGACTCAAAAGAAGGCCGGTCAGCTGGCCATCACGCAAATGCACGCTGGCTAGCTGACAGGGCATCGTCTTGTATGCCCTGACAAATGGCTCCGTGTGCCACAGGTGGCACACGTGCCATAGGTTCGCCATCACAGCCCTAGGAGCACAAAATGTTCAAAATTACTCTGTTAACATGAATGAAAAATATTTTGTCAAACCATAAGTATTCAACAGCTGTTACTGCTAAGTCATGGAGATCTTGAGATGGTATTTGCAAAACATTTCTTTACCTTTCAGAAGATGAGGCTGGAAGCTCAGCCTCTTCCTAGATAATTAGTGCTAGGCTGTTCATTTATCTGAAGGGGTGGGGACATCATCTTATTATTCTTGCATCTTATTGTCTTAAATGATTATCTCCCTGTTCCTAGCAACTATTGGAAGAACTACAACAATATGTTTGCACAGGTTGAGTTTTCAGTTGTCTGGCGTATAAAACAATAAATTTAATGTATTTTTAAAACATGCAGATTTTCACTTCCTATTAGACAAGTACAGATGGTGCACCTTTCAGTGTTACCGCCCACTCATGTAAAGAAAGGGGCAACATCAAATGGGGAAGAATAACTGAACCATTTTCAGCTCCTTTTCCTTTCTTCCCACGCTGTTTAGTGGGGGAGAATGGAAGGAAGGATCTCCAGCAGCAGTACTGGAGAAAATTGTAAAGAAACCAGCCCAGGATATTCAACCAAGTCTGAATTGCTGTGCAATCAGACAAGTTCTCCAATGCCAGCAAATGCAAACAAGATATCAGTGAGCCATCCCCTTTTGGACAGTGATGCTCATAAGACCATTACAGCCTTCCCTGCAGCCTTTCCTCCAACGTGCATCTCTTTTAAGCCAAAGACAGAGAGTCTATCCCTCCGACCAGCTTAGTCTGAAAGGTCTACTCAGTTGCCCTACAATTGCATCCTCCTCTTCCCTCCACAAACAGCTGCACACCCACCTCATCTTGTCTTTTTCTTTCCTTCCCCACCTTCTGACCTTTAATTGGATTAAAACTGCACATCCCTCCCCCCCCCACCTCCATATTACCGCCTTTGGCTCTGCTCTTTGGGAAACCCTGGAAATCCTAGCCTCAGCATATCCGGCGCCCGGTTGGAGACGGCTGTTCCAAGCAAAACTAGAATTCGCGCCACCCCGCTTCCACTGCTGTCTAGGAATGTGCAGGCATCGTCTTCTGTGGAACGGCGCGCTCTACGTCTCGGCCAGGGCTCCCCCGCCCACGCTCCCCTGCACTCTTCGAGGCGAGTGTGCCCCAACCTGCATTGCCCCAAATGGGGCACTCTTCTTGCACCAGCGGCCTCTCTTTCTCTCCCCCCTCCCCACTGCACGGGGAACACGGGGATCGGTCAGCGCACTGTTTTGTCTAGGCATCTGCTCTGCGTAAAAACACCCTCCGCCACAGCAGACCCAAGACTGGCCAGCGCCACCGAGCCCAATTATCACGGCACCCCCAGACAGCCTCCCGCCCTGCATCCCGGGAGCTTGCTCAGCTCCGGGTTTTGCTCCCTCCCCAAAAGAGAACGGGGCTTGGGGGGGTGTCTTCTTCCATAGGCGCCTACCCTGGATTCCCCCCCCCCATTTCCTTGTTCGCATGCCCCACAAAGCCCCCTCGCCTCCTTACCGTCCCAGCTCTGACTCGAGGTCGTAATAATCCGTGAGGGAGTCCCTATTGGAGCCGTCGATCCAGAAATCCGGGCTGGCGGGGCCAGGGGTGGCGACACCTCCGACTCGGCCCGGGGTAGGGGCAGGGAGAGGGGCAGAGGCAGATGCAAGAGTGCCAGTGGCACTGGGGGTGGCGGAGGCAGAGGAAGGCGACGAAGACGAGGAAGAGGGCATGGTGACTTTGAGCATGCTGCGGTGGAGGTTCAAGCGGCGGTATTGGGGTCCGCCGGGACTCGCCGGCTGTTCAGAAGCTGCGAGGAAACGAGAGGACAAAGCGGCTAGCGGCGGCTTCTCCCCTCCCACCCCCGCCTCCGGCTCTTGAGCTGACGAGAGAAGCGGGAGGGGGAGGAAACTCTCGCGGGCTGCCTGAGGAAGCCGACCTAACAGCCAAACTTCTAGCCGGGCGCAGCGGCAGAAGCAGCCGGCGAGCAAACCTCTCGGGCTGCAGGGGAGGGCGCGCTCTCGGTCGGATGCGCGCGCCCGGGTACGCGCTTCCTTGTCTCTTCCCAAACGCGCCCTGCGCACACAGGCGCGTCCTGTACAGGGTGGAATGGGATGGGGGGCGAGCCGAGGAGTCACCCACTGAGGGAAGGCCCGGAGAACTCACCCCCAAAGCCAGCAATGGTCGCGATCAAGACAAGCCCAGAGAGCAGAAAGACTCCAGAAAGCACCTGGCGAGGGCAAGTTCCTATCGGAGACGGGAGGGAGTTTTGCTCCCGGACAACCGTGTGCCAATTGATTGAACTTTGAGATACCAAATTAATGGCAGGATTTTGACTGCTTCTTTCTTGGCGAAGTACCTGCCTTTTCTCCCTCCCTATCACTCTCGCTGTCGGGGGTGGGGTGGTAGTAAGACACAGCCCCATGACAAGGAACCCCAGTTGTGGTACCACTCTTTTTGTGGTGTCCTAACGTATCCTTTTCCTTACCCAGAGAAAAGGAGACAGGACCTAGACCAGCAGTTTGTTTCTAGGTTCTTCTAAACCAGGCTAGTCCTGCCTACATGGTCCTTAAATTTCATGGTCCATTCACTACCATCCCTGTATCCTTCTTACTTTTATTTTTCAACAATAAAAGCAAATCTGAGAACATCCTTGCTTTCCTTGATGGACTGAAGTTTCCCTGTTCACTGCTAAACATACTTTAAGTTCTAGCATAGGACCTCTTGCTTGATGCTCGAAATACGACTGGACATGTGAAATTCTAGAACTAATTATTGAATCAGCAGTAGACAGAAATATGTTTTAAGAAACAGTGCACTGGGGTCTGAGCGCTGTTTAAACGGTGATGAAGGCATATCTTGTCCACTATCAAAGTTGATATCAAATATCAAATATAAATTCAGTTTTAAGTAGAATTAGCAGATATCTGAACAGGCAAAGGGGAACATGAGCAATTAGAATGGCAGATAAATGGGAGGTGGGAAGACACACCTACCTGCTTAACTTTCTTGGCATCTGTGACAAAAATTACAGAAAAAAATAGGAAAAAAGCCCCTACTTAGGCCTACCTGTATATGAAATTACTTTTTCCAGCTTCAGAAAGACTGACTTTCAGTCACAGTATTTTTCCAACATATCTTTATTTTTGAAAACTAGAAATTAGTTACGAAATAGAATTGACTTCAACATGCTTTTCAAATTTTGCCATAGAAACTTATGATGAGTTGTGATCTACACACTATAATGATTTAGAAGGGGCGGGACTAAAATTGATTTCTGGAATCAAGATATAATTTCAATAATGTAAATTGATACTGTCAAGTCTGTTGATGGAAGAGGGAAAGAAACAGAGAATTTACAGAGTCGTGGTGCAACTTTGGATGACCCCTATTGTGAAAACAGTTAAAACGCTCCCCCACTCCCTGATTCTCAAAAGCAAGACAATGCTTGATTTCAAGGCTATGCCTTCTGAATGGAGGACAGGAGTGCAAACAAGAGGACATCTCTTCTTTTTGTCTGGCATCCAGTATCCTAGCCTGAAGCTTCATAATTATTACACCTATGCTAATGTAACTTATTTACAAACATTCATTGGATGTATCCACTCTAAATTCTAGGTTTTAAAAAGTCAGTAAAATGACTTCTGGCTCCATAAGGATCATTAGATTATTTTGGCATAAGACCATTTTACATTATCAAATACATTCATGTTCTGAGGTTGGATATAATCCCTTTCTTGGGCACACAAAGTAATTAATAGTAAATAGTGAAGTTAAAACAGTAACATAAACATCAATGCCTGTGCCAATTCGACATAAAGTTTTAAGATAAGCTGAACCAATTGAAAATTTACATTATCAGTAGCTAATAACTATCATAGAATTAATTCTTAAAATTGATTAATGCCTGCAGTAGGCAAGAAACCAATCTCATTTCAAACTTTTGTGGATGAAATAAAACTTTCTGATGAGTGGACTTCCCACATATTGTTCAGGGAATATGTATTGTTCAGGGAATACATTTTAAACTAGAGTGTTTCCCACTGTATTTAAGAGAAACATCAGACCCTAACTTTTGTTGGAACAAAAGGAGCAAGGATACAGCTGAACTGTATGTGGTAAAATTCCGAATGTCTTACATTCAGGATAACTCAGGATAGACTTATTCTAAATGAAGGCCAAATCTCTAAAGGGTTATTTGCCTTTAGTTCAGCACTAGCTCCTACTGCTGAGCTGTTGAAACTGAGATTATGGATCAAACTGGCAATACTAGGAAGGAGTGCAACTATGGCTTTCATTACAAATGGCAACAACACTGTGCTTTGCCGAAAGTCCAGAAACTCTGGGAACAAAAGTGCTGGGAGATTTTGCTGCGTGATCCATTATGCTACGATTAATGAACACTGCTACTACAGCTCTTCATTTCACTGCCGGCAACACATTTGGGTTGGAGAAAATTGACAGAATATGTGAGGGTGGAAATTACATTCTTAATAGAGTAGCACTAGGCAATGCGTCATTATTGCTTCCTCCTGGTCTTTTGCTCTCTGATTTTAATTTTTAGATTTAAAAATTTAAAAGATTAAATAGAGAAAGGGCATGCTTCCCATTTCCTAATTATTGCAAGTCATGTTTTTAGGATCCTCAAACCCCTGGAGGTAATCTTAAAAAGGGAGGCACTTGATTGCAGCCTTATGTTTTGGAAGTGTGCCTAACTACTTGGAGAAGAGAGGAATACTAGCAAAAACCTGGGATAGGAAAGCAAAACTGCTTGTTTGTGGCAGCAGCCACTCTAGAAATAGGCAAAACTTCTTCTGAAGGACTCATTTTATCCAAGCAAACACAATATCCCCATAACATTTTCAGTATGCATATTGATCTAAAAGTTGTGAGTCCTTGTGGTAGAATGAGACTTGGGCTCAAGAGAGGCTGTATTGAGCAAATATGGGCCCAATCCAAATCTAATTTACAGTAAATAGGCTCATTTTGAGGAAACCTAGGAAAGATCATGTATGGATAAATTAAAGGTGTTTGCTATATTTTGCTATTTTTACAATAATGTTGTTCCCATTCCCTTCCCAACATTGGGGAGTTTCTCAGATTACCTCTTTATTCTTTCATGACTTTCCTTGTTGTCCCAGTTACTGCTTCTTTCTGCTAGATGTTGAACTTTTTTGTCTTCCTGTTGCTAGGTGACATATTATTACCTCTTTCTTGTGACATGAAAGAGAAATATTAAATAACTAACCGCCAACCATCTAAATTAGTTAAAACAACTGTGCTTTTAATATCAGTTCTTTTTTAAAGTGTGTTCAAATGGGAAACGATTAGGAACAATGACATGTAAGTATTATACTAAACTGAATAGTTCTAAGTAAAAGTAAATATTTCTTTTAGCACAGCTTGACTTCTAATGTTTTCATAGACACATCCATATATGATTTTTTTTTGGGGGGGGGGCTATAATATAAAAGTGATACATCACTTCATTTTAAAAAAGAACTGATATTAAA